ACTGAAAGAGAATCTCTAAGCCTCAGAGTCACTTGAAACAAATAGGCATAAGAGCATGCTCTTGTTTAAGAAAAAGAGCAATGAGTAAATTTTTGGAACATTTTGAAACATGATGAAAAAATGAAGGTAATTATTTCATTTACCACAGTATCATCGATCTCCCAAACATTATACACACAGAGAATTTAAATAAATGTGTCTTATAAGAACCCATCTCTTTACAGGCTAATTGGCCACTATTAAATAATGTGGGCATGACAGCAGTCAGCCCCATCCATGCAGTATCTGTGTTGCTCATAACCACTGGCTTCTGCATAAAAATGAGAAAAGGAACCAAGTATTTAATAGGGGGTTAATCTGGGTTGATTTTCTTGTCAGTGTACTACATGTATTAAACAATTACTTTCAGGGGGGAAAATTTGTGAGATAGGAATGACCTCCTTTGACACCGAATCCCTATGGCTCCTGTTACTTACCATAGTGTAGGGGAAGATTTAAAAGTTGAACCATATTCTCTTTGTTCCACAGCTATATTCAAAACTTGATCTTGAGGTAAGATTTTCTAAAAATCCTCACTGAGGATATTTTTCCATTAATTTTTAAAGCGAATGGAAGAGAGAAGGAAAGAGAAACATCGATGTGAGTGAAGCATCGATGTGAGAGAAACACACCGATCAGTTGCCTCCTGCATGAGTCCCAACCAGGGCTCAGGTCAGGGAGGAGCCTGCAACCGAGATTCATGCCCTTGACTAGAATCAAACTCAGGACCCTTCAGTCCGCAGGCCAATGCTCAAGCCCAAACCAACTAGGGCTTGAGGTAAGATTTTGAATGATTAAGTGCTAAATGAATTGCCCTAGCATAATTACTGAGGATGATTTAGAGGTATAACTTAAGTTACAGAGTCTATTTTGTTTTCCCTTTGCCCACTCCCATGATTCATCCTATTATTTAATACTGGGCTATAAAAACTGTAAAAGAGCCTTTTTATTGGATACAATACATTTACAAGCAAACAGCGATGATGCCAAGTGCTGTTTCCCCAACTTCCTACCTGTTCACAGGTGAAGGATCTTTAGAATTTGGATTGAATAGAGCCAAGTTTGTTTTCACATATCTGGCTTTGATTTAATAGCGAAATCCTCAGAAGCTACATGCGTTACAGAAAAGCCACCCCTGCCCAAAGTTCAGCCTTTTCATTCTTTAGAAACAGGGAAGGACTCACTTGTCCCTGTCTCCAAATCTAATTCCTTCAGAAATCAGAAATGAGAGTGACTGGGGTTAAGAAGATTGCTATTTCTTTAGGCATTACTAGACATCACAATGATTTTTTGGTCAGATTCTTCTAACAGTACAAAATTATCATAGTTTAACTATACAATTAGTAATTCCATGTTGTTCTAGCTTATTATCATTCATCCCCCACAAAGCGCCAACTTGTCTTCTGTGTACATAATCCAGTAACAAATCATCAGTGTTTTTCTGTGGTCCCCCTCTATGATTAATTCCTCACTATTAGCTACTGTTTGGACTCTCCTAACTGCGTTCTTTGGAAACCCCTTACGTCCTCAACTTCTTGACTTAAAGCTCTTTTCCAATCCTGAATAAAATTAAACTTGGCTTTCCATCTATACACTTCTACCTCCTATGTCAGTGTTGCTGAACAGTCCCTTTGAACATTTTCCCCTGTACATGAGTGTGTTGTACCATTAGTCACAGTTTTCCTCGCCTTTCCTAGTCCCCTATAGGCATGAGATATCTTGTAGAACACTGGCTCAGACTTGAGAAATGTACTTGAACAATGAGCATCAATAGGAAGCTCAGTAGGAATTTCAAAACCTTTCTTCTTGGCTTCCCTAATGGTTCTGGAATTTCCCATGAACTTCTGGGTGAATTTTTGCTTGCCTATCTAAACATAACACATGGATATTCCACAATTCTCCAGCTGTTATATTATCATTTGAAAGACTGATCAATACTGGAATGAGTGGAATTTCCTAATTTTTAGGAAAAAACTTTGATTCGGCTTGAGTAAATGTTCTTCTCTGATCTAAACACTATGACTAGGTTGAGGTAGACTATAATTTTGCACATATAGTTGTCTAGAGCTATATGAACACAGAGAGAGTAAAAAGGCAATCTCCACATGGGGGAGTGAGGCAGACGTCTTTATAGCACATCAGTACTTAATGAGGGCAGAGTAGTTATCTAGATCTTTACGTCAATTTTCACCGTTTCTCAAGGGATAATCTTCATACTTCAATGGTAAATGAAGCTTTCTCATCTCATACAAACTCTTTTCCATATGTTTCTACGATATGGAAACAATTCTTTAACAAGGAAAAATTTGGATGGCTTGCAAATTGAGCTTATGAATTGAACATCATTCTGATATCAAAGCTGATTGGTCTGAGCCTCCAACATCTCTTGCTTGGATTACTACAGTTGCTTCCTGATCAATTTTTTTATTCCATCCCTGCTCCTTGTCTATGTTTAACCAAGCAGTCAGAGGAATGATTTTAAAACAAATTTCAGATCAACACACTTCCCCGCTCATAAATTTCTCGTATGATCATGACACTCAGAATAAAGGCCACTGTTGTTCTCTAACTGACCTGGCGGCTTGTTTCCTCTCTGACCTCATCTCCTCTTATTTTCTCAGCATTTCTTATCTGTTTCTCCTGTTTTATATTTCTTCAGATCAATTTTTTAAATACTGCAGTATATATATATTTTTTTTATTAATTTTAAGCCTTCCAGACTTTAGTACAGCGGTTCTCAACCTGTGGGTCGCGACCCCTTTGGGGGTCGAACGACCCTTTCACGGGGGTTGCCTAAGACCATCGGAAAACACATATATAATTACATATTGTTTTGTGATTAATCACTATGCTTTAATTATGTTCAATTTGTAACAATGAAATTGGGGTCACCACAACAGGAGGAACTGTATTAAAGGGTCGCGGCATCAGGAAGGTTGAGAACCACTGCTCTAGTATATTCATTCCACTAGGACAACTACTTTTGTAAAATTTGCTTTCTGCCGTGCTCCCAGCTCTCAGAGTAGGTGGCACTTGGCAAGCCTAAAACCATTTTCTGTGTGATGAAAAATAGACTGAGTATATCTTCTCTGTGTGGAAAGCCTGGGAAATCTGATCGTTCTCTCTGAGTTCGTTTTCCTGCCATTAGTCACTACCAGAAACTTTGAGGAAGACCCACCACTCCGGAGCCAATGAGTGAAATGAGACAATTGTTCCTCCACCTTGCTGTACTATCCCTTCAGTGTCTCAATGATTACCACCCACGTAAAATTAGATGAAGAGGTTTCATGATTATTTTAGAAAGAAATTGGAGGACACATTAAAGTTCATTAACTTATTTATTAACTTATTTAACAAATGCTAATTATCTGGAATTTATTTAAGTCTGAAAAATATTATTGCTGTGTATCTGACTCTATATGTACAAGTAGTTTTGCAGGGAGATAAAATGTGAGGCAGGTCACATGAAGAACTCAAAGGCAGAAAAAAAAATCACCATTTGAAATACAACATCATAATGAGAAATACATTTTAGAAATCTAACTAATGTTTTATGTAATATAACAATAAGCAATGTATATTTCTAAATACAAGTGATTTGTTTTTGTCTATAAATAAAAGAGCCTGGGGCCAGAAACCTACTGCCAGGAGTTTTATTCTCATGGGTCATTTGCTCTATTTTATCCTTCTTCCAGCCCTAAGTTAAAAGTATGCGTCTTGGCATCTTCGATGCTCTGTCTAGTATCCTGAGGTGCCATGTGGCAGGGAGTCTTGACTGGAAACTGAGTTTAATGATCCTCCTGGTTGACAGCTATTGTGGATGTATCTTTGCTACTGTTGCAAGATCTATGTGCAATTCTAACCAGAAGAATGACAGTCACAAATCTCAACAGAGCATTAGGTTGTTTTCAATTCCAAAGGCCTTTTAAGAAAGTGATATTTAGCCAAAGTAAGCCGATTAGCTAACAAAGATGGGACAGGTCCTCATACATAATGAACTAGCCAATAAAAAGCACAGGCCCAATACAGTAAGCCACATACTTGCTCTGAGCTGCCTTGCTGTAGGAATTTTTTTTTTTTTTTTTTTTTTTTTTTTTTTTTTACTGAAAGTTAAGAACCATGTATTTGCTCATAATCTAAGTCAAGAAGCCAGCATTGCTTTCAACTTCAAACAAAATAAACACATGCTATCTCAGACAAGAAAATACCTAACATGAACTTCTTATACAAACTAAGACTTACACAAGGTGGAGAAAGAGTGCGTTTATAGCTGTGAGTATATGAAAAACAGAGTTTATTCTTGTATTATTTATTAATTATGGCATTATTCCCCATATGGACAACTGTAAGCCTACTTTTGCCAGATCTTCTATAAAGGCAAAAACTAAAAGGGAAACCAAAGAAAGCTGAAATGGGAGTGAGAAGTTTATATGGCATAATGGCATAGTGAGATTATGAGAACCATAGAAGTTATTCTTGGATGCTAATTTTCACTAAAATAACTACTCATGTCCAGGTGCATCAGAGGTTTTACTGATGACCCATTTCAACATAAACTCAGACATCTCATTAGAAGGAAATCATTAAAGCCTCTTTGTAAACTATATCAGAATAAATATTTTGTTTTGTGGATCTTCATTTCAATGGACAAAAGCCTGTTTCATTTCAAATTAACCCAACTACATTGGTAAATCATACTTGTTTGTAGAATTTGGCCCTCAGCTAGAAAATCAGCTGATAAGAAAGAGGAATATTACCCTTAGATAATATTTTCTATCTATATATTCTACCACAAAGTTATATTTCAATAGTTATAGAGATAGTATCAAAATAGTACATTGACATTTCTATACAGAAATGACTCTGGCCCTGGTGTTTCTGTCCCGAGTGTCTGTTCTGTGGAAAAGAAATCTTTCACTGCCGTCTGCCTTCTCTCCCATGGAAGTGTGTGCCACCACCCCATGGAAGATTCCATGGACATGGACATGACCCCTGTGAGGCCCCAGAACTATATTTTTGGTTGTACACTGAAGGAGAGCAAAGATTACCACTTTAGGGTGGATAATGATGAAAATGAGCACTAGTTATCTTTACAGTTGGTCAGTTTAGGGGCTGGTGCTAAGGATGAATTAACTGCACATTGTTGAAGCTGAGGCAATAAATTATGAGGCAGGTCAGTTAAAATAACACTGGCAACTTTAAAGATGTGTGTTCAGCCAACAGTTTCCCTTGGTGGCTTTGAAATAGCACCACCTATTTCCTTCCAATTGAAATGTGGTTCAGGGCATGAGCATCTTAGTGGCAGCACTTAGCAGCTGTGGCGGAAGATGCAGAGTCAGAAGATGAAGAGGAGGAGGTCATGATACTCCTAAGCATATCTGGAAAGCATTCTGCCACTGGAAGTGGTAGTAAGATTCCACAGAAAAAAGTAAAACTTGCTGCTGATGAAGATGATGATGATGATTTTGAGGATGAGGAAGCTGAAGAAAAAGCTCCAGTAAAGAAATCTGTACGAGATACTCCAGCCAAAAATGCAAAAAACTCAAACCAGAATCAAAAGGACTCAAAACCATCAACACCAATTCTAAACACACTCACACACACACACACACAAAAAAAACAAACTCATAAAACACCAAAAGGACCTAGTTCTTCAGGAGACATTAAGGCAAAAATGCAAGCAATTATAGAGAAAGATGGCTCCCTTCCCAAAGTGGAAGCCAACTTTATCAATTATGTAACGAATAGCTTCTGATGACTGACTAGTAGGCTATTCAAGATTTCTGACAGTGAGGAAGTCTCTTTAAGAAAATAATTTAAATGGTTTATTAAAATTTGCCATCTTATTTTATTTCTGTAACAGTTCATATCTGGCTGATTTTTTAATAATATAGAGTGAGAAATTTCCCTACCATGTCTGGTACATGTTGTCCAGGTTCCATTGCTAAGAATGTGTTGACCAAAATGCCTGTTTAGTTCTTTAAGATGGAAATCCACCCTTTGTTTGGTTTTAATTATGGAAGTAGAGGCCCAGTGCACAAATTCGTGCACAGGCCAGCCAGGGGGAGGAGTCCCGGGTGATTGGCAGGCCAGCCCCAACATTTGCATATTCGCCTTTTATTATATAGGACTAGAGGCCCGGTGCACAAACAATTGTGCACTCAGGGGAGAGGGGGGTCCCTCAGCCCAGCCTGTGCCCTCTCACAGTCTGGGACCCCTCAGGGGATGACCACCTGCTGGCTTAGGCCCGCTCCCTGGGGGATTGGGCCTAAGATGGCAATCAGTCATCCCTCTGGCAGCCTGGCAGCCCTCAGGAGATGTCCACTTGCCAGCGGGGAGCAGGCCTAAACTGCTGTCGGACATCCTTAGCGCTGCGGAGGAGGCAGGAGAGGCTCCCACCACCACTGCTGTACTGGCAGCCATCAGCCTGGCTTGTGGCTGAGCAGAGCTCCTCCCATGTGAGAGCGCCCTGACCACCAGAGAGCAGCTCCTGCATTGAGTGTCTGCCCCCAGTGTGTGTCAGTGTGTGTCATAGTGACCAGTCATTCCCAGTCCTTCTGCTGTTAGGGTCAGTTTGCATTTTACCCTTTTACTATATAGGACAGAGGCCTGGTGCACAGGTGGGGGCCTGCTGGTTTACCCTGAAGGGTGTCCCAGATCAGGGTAGGGGTCCCGCTTGGGTGCCTGGCCAGTCTGGATGAGGGATGATGGCTGTTTTCAGACTGGTCACACCCCCTTCAGGGTGGGGGTCCCCACTGGGGTGCCTGGCCAGTCTGGGTGAGGGGCTGAAGGCCGTTTTCAGGCTGGCGGGTGACTGAAGCTCCCAACCTCTCCTTTTTTTCTTTTTTTTTTTATTCTGGGATTTATTTACATTCTATGGCTGTCACTGGAGCTGAGAGCAGGCTTTAGCTCTGAGGCCAGCTCCAGTTTGAGACCTCAGCTGCTGAAAGCAGGTATCTGGGTTTGTTTAGCTTCTATAATTGAAACACTGTTGCAGCTCCAGCTCCGAGGCCGGCTGGCTGAAAGCAGGTTTCTGGGGTTTGTTTATCTTCTATAATTGCAACATTGTTTCTTAGAGTGCAGCTCAGAGGCCAGCAACGGCAGGCGGGGAACCTTGGCTTCCTCCATCACTGTGGCAAGCAAGACTCCTGCTCACTCAGCTGCCTGGATGCCAGCCGCCATCTTGGTTGGCAGTTAATTTGCATATCGCCCTGATTAGCCAATGGGAAGCGTGTCAGAGGTATGGTTAATTACCATGTTTGTCTATTATTAGATAGGATGTTATGATAGGACATCGTAGTAGTGGAGGTCAGACAAATGGAAATGGTGGGGAGACAAAAATACACATGTGAAATAAACTCAGTGTTTTAATAAAGCTAAAAGAAAGACTCCATTTTCATAAAATATGTGGTATTCTTTTCCATATAAATGATATGGTGGCACATCATTCATTCATTCATGGAGGGCTTTCTACATGTCATGTGTGCATATGCTCAATGCTGGGCATTCTGAGTTGGGAGAGAGAGAAGAAGACATCAATTCTTACTTCAAAGAACACATTGTTCCACAGATATGTATTCTGAACATTTACTAATAATGTGGACTAGATGGATGTATTGAATCATAAATCTTTCCTAGCATTATATCTTTACTAATGCTATTGCTTTGTAAGATTGCTGACTGGCAAAGCTATAGTTTGGTCTAACTATGGGATATGGCCAGAGAAGATGGTCAATAGAAGAAATTATGTTTAGCATATAAAGCATTCCAATGCTCAACTTCAACAAGATTATCTTTTTACTTTCTGAAGACAGCTGAAATAAAGGAAGGACAAATTTTGTATTGATGGAAGCCTTAAGTTGGGTCATCTTTGGGGATAAAGTAATCCGAATCATATGAATGCTTCTGCTGCCATCATTTAATTTAGAAGCATTTATGTAAATTGCTAAGAAATTCACAAACCGACAACAGTATCTGGCCCAGCCGGGAAATGACTGAGTGTTAAAATGGCTTGAATAAGAGTAGGGAGTAGTTTGGAGGTGGGGTTGACTCTGTGTCTCTGTAGGACTCTTTTTTTTCTGGACCCACACAACATTTTGTAAGCTGATGGAGGATAGATATGTATTAGATCAAGCCACATGAAAAAATAAAATTCCTAAATGATAATTATAATATTTTTCAGAAATATAGATTTTTTTTATTTTTCAAAATCAACCAGTGTAAGGATACTTAAAATTTATTATTTAACTCTTACAAATACCTACTTCTATTTCTATATATTCCTAGATTTGCCTATCATTTCCATGTTTGTATACACATATGTATTTGTATATGTAAATCCTGTTTAATTTTGCATTTTGAATGCCAAGAAAAAGGATCTCATTTTTTGCCAATAGGGATAAAAATGGAAGATTATAAAAACTGTTCCTTTCAAGAAAAATTATTATAAAAATATTATGGAAAGATCTCAAATATATTATAGGTAATTTTGTTTCTTAAATAATGTATTCTGAATGCAAAATACCTTTAAAAAACAATGGCTTTTGTCTTTACTCTCCTTCAATAACTGTTTACGTTAGGCCATAATAATGTGGAGTGCCTCTGCAGAACTCAATAACAATAGCTGCCTAGTCTTTAGTACACCATGTTTCTCCCTAAGCCAATATTTCTATATAGACTCCTTAATATAATATTTCTACAACATGAAATCAATTACCATTTATATGTTTAAAACAAAAATAACCAAAACATTAAAACTCTTATTTTTTAACATTGACTAAAGAATGAAGTCCCTATTTCTTAGTAAGATATGTGAGACCCTTAATATTCCAACTCTAGTCTCTCAGTTTTTATTTCCCATTAAGAGTTTCAATGATGCCTCATATCCTAGCTATAATAAGTGCCTCAGTGCACTAAATGCATTTCATTATAACATCTTGTTTTTTTGTGTGTGTGTTTTTAAAGAAGGAACTCATCCAATATCTTATACATACTATCTACTTTGCTTAGAATACTCTTTTCTCCCCCTCATGGCCTGGTCCACTTCCACTTGATTTTCATGACCCAGAATTATTGTTTCCTGATAATCAAGTCTTTCTCATCTCCTATCTCTAAAATCCCATAGCACTTGCCCTGCTTATTGGATTATAACTATTCATTTATATGTCTGCATCCTTGTAAGGGAAGAAATGATTCTTCTGCTACTAGATATAACTCATGTTTTCATATTTTATTTGGGGCTACATTGAGGGAAAAGATAATTCTTCTATGTTCAGGTTTGGGTCTCTGAAAGTAAAATTGTCCATGTTGTCCATCAATTGAAGAAACAGCATGTGTTTCAGAATGTAAGTCCAAATTAAGAAGGCCTCTAAGTAAAGCTTTGACAAAAAAAACAACACTCTTATTCTCAAGATAATGATTTTTACATATTACTAGGAGATTGTTCCTGCCTAGAAATTTGTGTGGTGTTCATTTCCATGTGGAGACTGACCAAGAGCTAAGAAGTATAAAACAGTAAGTGCTTCAAGTCCTTTGAGCTAAAAGAGAACCAATCCAGATGGTAATTGAATTGATATGGGGCCTTCATCCTCTAAGAAAAAATTAATTATGGAAGATCAGGAATGCGTCCTTTGAAATAGCTTTTTGATGAATAAATTACGTAAATGTATTCACCATAAATATTCACCCATTTTACACATGCACTTCAATGATTTTAGTAAAAGTGTGGTATGTACAATTGTAACCACAGGATCAGCTCAGTAACTACAGACCAAACCCACAAGTACGCAGCCAAAGCATGCTCAGAGGGGAAAATTTTGACCTCCAGCTGCATTCAGACCCAAAGCTTTGCGCGTGCGCGCGCGCGCGCACACACACACACACACACACACACACACACACACACACACACACACACGACCAGTATATATAACCCAGAACTTGAAAACTGGAACCCTTTCAGAAGCAAAGGTTTGATTATCCAAGAAGATCCTGTGCTGACACCCCTTTACCTTAATGAATGGCCAAACCCCAAGTTCCTTTCATTAAAATGTGCCCCACCAGCACTTTAAAATTCCTTAACCTGCTCCAGGATGGATGTGAGGCACCATTAGGTCTCCCATCTTCTCAGCTGGTACCTTCTCAATAAGCCATTCCTTACTCCCAACTCTCATGTTTTGTGATTTAGCCTTTTGAAGCATAGGGCACACAAACTTGGGTTAAAGGACACAGTTATCACCACTATCCAGTTTTAGAACATTAGCATCACCACAAAAATATTTTTTTCTGACTACTTGTGGCCAATCCCTGTTCAGATCCCCAGTGCTGGGAAGCCACTGATTTATTTTCTAGGTATAGATTTGCCTTTTCTGGACATTTCATGTAAGTGGAATCATAAAATATCTAATCTTTTGCTTCTGGCTTCTTTCACTTAGCTTAATGTTTTTGAGCTTCACAAAATGGAACCTTTTGTCTGATATGCTACATTTGTTATCTTTTCACAAAATGACGGACATTTGAATTGTCTCCAGTTTGGGGTTATTATAAATAATGCCATTATGAACATTCAGATACAAGTCTTTTTATAAACATATATTTTCATTTTTTTTCAAGTAGAGTCCTAGGAGTGGGATTGTTATTGGACAAAATAAGGGGGGTCCTCTTCCCACTGATGCTGCTGGGGGTGGAGTTCTTAGGATATCCCAAGAAAAACAATTTTCTGAGACTTACATGGAAGAATGAGTGATATTAATTTGT